TCCAACCAAAGATCTGTTTGTCTGCAGGTTATGGTGCTGTTGGCCCATCCCTTCAAATATTTTCTTATTGTATCTTCTTCTCTGTGGCTTCCCTCTTCTCACCTTCTCCGTGGCTTCCCTTCAGCAACCCACCACTGCAGCCGCCCCCAGTACTACTAACCATCCACCGACAGCTATTCCTTTAAAAGACCACCGCTCTCTCTTTGACCATAGATTTGCCATACCTCTCACTGCTTCTCTACTGCTTCTTCTCTTGCTTGTCATCATCATGGGCTGCTTTCTCGGACTCAGATTCAGACACAAAAGACTTGCCAAGAAGGTTGATGCGGCTTCAAATGGGAGTAATGATCTTGATCCTAAAAAGGAAAAGGATTCTGATCATGGTACTCATGGTTGTGTAAGGAAATACAACTGGAGTGAGATAGAGAAACTGTCAATGAATTTCTCTCAGATTGTTGGATCAGGAGGGTTTAGCACAGTGTACTTGGGCCTCTTGCCTGATTCCAATCTTGGGGCGATCAAGATTCACTGCCCAAGTGACTATCTCAACAGAGTCTTCAAGCAAGAACTAGACATACTACTTCAACTCCAACATGACAACATTGTCAAGCTCCTAGGATACTGTGATGTTCAAGGTTTGTGTCTGGTCTTACTTTAAATGAAACTTTTGGTTGATCGGTTGTTTTTCCAAGTTCTTGTGTGCTAAAATCTCTCTGTTGTATTTCCAGATGAAGGTGCTTTGGTATTTGAGTATGTTTCCAATGGAACCTTGCAAGATAAACTCCATGGCGGGGAAGGAGAAATTAAGAAATCATCAAGTAGTTCAGTGATTTCATGGAGAAATAGAATGGAAATAGCCTACCAACTTGCTCAAGCTCTTGAATATCTACATGAAAAATGTCCTCTCCAAATCGTACACGGTGACATCAAGCCTTCAAACATTTTACTCGATGAGCAACTGAATTGCAAGCTATGTGATTTTGGCTTTGCAAAGATGGGATTTTCTTCTACAATAATGACTTCCAATAATAGGAAGCAAGTGATGATGGGCTCTCCGGGTTACACAGATCCACACTACCTCAGAACAGGAATAGCATCAAAAAAGAACGATGTGTACAGCTATGGGGTCATAATTTTGGAACTTTTGACAGGAATGGAGGCGTTTTGCGAGGAAAGAGAGCAAGGCCAGCTACTGTCATCAATAATGGGACCCATTTTGAAGGACATAATTGCCAGTGATAATGAATGCAAAGCGATGAAGGTGGCAGAAATGGTGGATCCAAGATTGGGAGAAGACTTTGAAGTCAAGGAAGTCAAGGTTATGCTTTCCCTTGCAGCTCTTTGCCTTGGACAGTCTCCAAGTCTTAGGCCATCTGCAACACAAATCTTGAATACTATCAAGGAGAATATAGCTTCCATTTCCTTCTTCTCCACACAGAAAAAAGATTTGTCAAATTGATGATCATATTAAGTGTAGAAACTGTTTGCTAGGAATTACAGGGATGATTTTGATGTATCAATCGGTGTAAATGACATACACATACTAGCTTTTTCCTATAACTTGTTTTCAATATTTTTCACATCATTTATCTGTAACATGCATCCAAGTCATTCTTTGAGGAGGATTGGTAGTTAAGCAAGGACTGGTTCAAGTGACAATGAAAGGCAAAAAAACCAAAACCAATAGAGAACGCGAAGTGCTAAACTCGCCCCCCCATTGCTCTCTACTGTGAACAGAATCGTTTAAAAATTAGTAGCACACGCATCTGAATGCTTTATTATATCTTTTGTCTGGACGGCCGGCCGGCAACCTGCATTATTGCAATTTCCTGTCTTTTCTTAAGCACTTCAAATCCATGCCAGATTCCACAGATTTGGCAGGAAGATTGTTGATGTTTTTGAGAAGCACGTTCAGATGACCACAGGGAAGATTCATTTCATTAATTTTTTAAAAAAGACGAAGTCTCTGTATTTTATTAGCTTCGCTGGTGGAAGTAGTCTTTTCAAATATATAAAAATATGATGCTTTTTGTTCTTGTTTTGAATGAGTAACCAATCTTTACGTGTAACGTGTGGCTAACGTATTTATAGATCTGATAAACAAGTCAAATCTAGCGAAGAAAAATTTGAACATGTTAAGAGTAGAGTGCTATAAACAAAAGCTTGTAATTTTCAATTAAACTGAAGATCACATTCAAATTTGATCGTAAAATTCTTACCTAATTTCAGAGGGGTTGGTTGACAATAATGACCCAAGGCCTTGAGGAATTGTTTAAACTCATTAATTAATTGCCAGATCGTTTGTACCGTGAAGATATTTGAATTCCTTAATCTTTTTTTATTGTTTTTTTTATTAATATTGATGTGAGGTTAATTTTTATATAGTTCGAGTAATCTTATAAATTCTAAATTTAATAATTATAAAAGTTATTATTAATTTTAATGTTTGTAAAACTCAAATTGATAATTTTTATTGAGCAAACCTAGATTATAACTAGTTGAGCTATACCACTCGGAGTTTTTTAAATCTTTTACTTATGATTTATACCGTTTTGTTTTAGAGGAAATCTTTTATATTTATTTTTATTAGAAAAATTAATTAATAAAAAAAAATTATAGTTAAAAAATTTTAATTTAGTTTCTAGAAAAAATATTTTCTTTTTATTTTATATATAAAACACTTTTGAAAAATATTATGTTATTTTCTAATTATATTAAATTTGATTTTTAAACTTTTGATTGTTATATATTTTATTTTATTTTATTTTCAATTCAACCTCTTAGAATTTGATTTAATATGATTTTTATATCAACTTTGGTTCTCATCTTTATTTTTATTATTTTTTTCTCATTATTTTTTTAATTGAAATGTTTTATCTATCAAACTTTGTCGTTATTCATTTGATTTTTTTATTTTATTTAAAATAATTTATGACATTATAATTTTTTTCAATTATTTTAATTATTATTTATTTTATTTGAGATAATATATGAAATTAAATTTTTTTAATTTTATTTTTATTCAATATTTTAATTTATAAGATTTGTTACTCGTTAATTTAATAAACTTGAAAAAATTAATAATTTATTTTTTAGTTTATTTGTTATGATAGTATAAAATATTAAAAAATTATAAACAGCTGGAAATTTGCATTATTGTTTCCTATTTTTTCATCAGCACTTCAAGTCTATGCCAGATTCACGTATGTGGCAAGAAGATTATTGATGTTTTTAAGAAGCTGTTTCAAATGACCCAAGAAGATTCATTTCGTTACTATTTGAAAACGAAGTTGTGTTTTTAAAAGTTTTAAATTATTTTATTTAAAATAAAATATTTATATATATTTTTTAAAATTATTTTAATGTGTTGATGTTAAAAATAATTTTTTTAAAATAAAAAAATTATTTTAATATATTTTTAAATAAAAAATATTTTAAACCACCGTATTATTAAAAAATAAAGTATATCTTAACATTAATTTTTTTTTTAAAAATGAAGTCTCTGTATTTTATTAGCTTCGCTTTTCAAATATATAAAAATATGATCCTTTAGTTTTTGTTTTGAATGAGTAACCAATCTTTATGGGTAAAGTGTTGCTAATGTCCTTATAGATGAGATAAACAAGTAAAAGCTAGCAAAATGATAAAAAATTGAACATGTTACAAGTAATCTTTTATATATATATATATATATATGAGATAAACAAGTAATCTTATTAAACCTTCTTCATCTTCACTGAGATTAAGGTTTGATTTACAAGTTAAGTAGATCAATTTAAGTTAATTTAAATAAATTTTTTTTAAATATAATTACATCAGCATATAAAATAAAATAAATTAGATTTTGATGGGGGTGACGGGATCAATTGGGCCGGTAAGAACATACCAGGTCAACCACTACTTCGGTTTTATTTCATACATAGCTTGCATCGAAGCCTAGGTTTTGAGTTACCGGACTTAATCAAGTTTAATAACACTGCATTGGGCTATTATCCGGTTCTACCATTCGCTGGGCTATTTTAGCATTCTAAACATATTTGACAATTAGGCTGTTTTCAGATAAAAAATGAGTGGGCCTATGGCCCGTTTTTACAAGCTTCTGAAATGGAAATTATATCCAGACAACTAAATCAAGCTGAACTCAAAATCAGCACTACAATTTATAACTGGACTAAGCCTAAAATCAAATTGGATAAAATAAAATAAAATAAATTCACAGTTCTTTAGCCAGTTCCGTTGACCAGGTTAGATAGTTATCGGAAGCATAAAGACAGACAGTGAGAGAGCTGCAGCTGACAACAAAGTGATAATGTCTTGCTCCTTTTTACTGATTCCTACGAAATTCCCCACATTGAATAGTTACAGCAAACACATCAACTCAACTGCTTTGTTGGGTTTCTCTTCTTTTTCTTGTTCGAAGAATAGAAGAAGATCCAATTCCATTGCTACTTCTTTTTCCAGAGGAAGAAGTCTTGGCTGCAAATGTCAGTTGGCAGATATTGCTCCCGTAACCTCTGCTGCCTATGGTGTCATTCTTCTTGGCGGTGGCCTCTTTGCCTGTAAAAAATAAAATAAAAATCTCATCTTTTTTCTTTTTTAGCACTTTATTTCCTTATCTTTGTTTTTCTTATAAAGTTTGCATTTTTGTGAATGAAGTCAGTAAATCAGGAAGCAAAGGGTCGCTCTTTGGAGGGTTGACAGGGGCTGCTCTCATGGGAACGGTAAGTTTTGCTTAAATTTTAATCATCGTTGCTTTATTTAGTTAAAGCTTGGTGTGAACTTTTTGATGCATTAGGAGTCAGCCTTGGCTGATCCTTGGCTACGATACCAATGCCTTATTGGCAGGCTTGTCATCTACTTGACTGCTTGATAGAACTTATTCTGAACTTCAAAAGAGTGTTTGTTGGTTTTAAGATTCCTTTTGATAGTTTGTTCATTTGAAAGGTCAGAGGTAAAGCTAGGGTATTTCTCATGTTAGTGATGATGGGCGAAGCACATTGTTAACTTTGGACTCAACGGCACCGCATAGGCTTCTTCTTCAAGTTCATAGCAGAAGGGTTTTTTAGCACTCATTTATATTAATGATTGGAATGGTTGGTGAGGTCGCTAGCCCCCTTCGTTCCATGCCTTATTTCACAGGGAACCTCAAAGTGGCTCTATTTCATTATATTCCATCCATATCCCAATTCCATTCATTTAATATCCCCTTTCTTTGGTGTCATTGACATAAGAGATGTCGTTTCTAGTCTATTTGTTTCTCTTTCTATATTCTATTTCTATATATATGGAAAGTTTCAAAATCATCATATAATAATCCAGAAATTGCAATAGAAAAGAAAAAAAAATGAGGTTTGTGATGATTTTGAAATCTTTTATACTAGGTAATCTAGTATCCTTATGCATGAAGATAATCAATACGGTTGTTGTGGTCAGACTCTATTATAGATTTCTGACCACATTTACGAGATAATCCACTGAAAAAGGTAGGTCCATAACATAGTTTTTTCCAGTGCAATAAAGTTACATAGTGTCTATTTTTCATTGATAAGGGGGTATTCCATGGGTTTGCCTTGGTATCATGTTCATACCGTCGTATTGAATGATTCCGGTTGTTTGCTGGCTGTCCATATAACACATACAGATTTGGTTGATGGTTGGGCCGGCTCAATGGCTCTATATGAATTAGCAGTTTTTGATCCTTCTGACCCCGTTCTCGATCCAATGTGGAGACAAGGTATTTTCATTATACCCTTCATGACTCGGAACTGCAAATCTTGGTCTCTGTTCTGAATTATGGACTGCACTCCCAAAATTGACCGCCCAATTTATAATATAGGTGTTATACATGCCCAACGAAGGTGTTGGATGAAGGAAAGAAGAATGGATGCTTCTTTTATAGTTTTACTTGCCTTTCTATGGGCTTCTTATTGATTTCACGGATAAAAAACAATAAGCAACCCCAATGAGCAGTCTAAAGATACCATCATTTCAGATACTGAACCAACTTAGCCTTCCCTCCATGTTAAACCTACGATGCCAAGTGGTGTGTACTGTCCCCTGTAATCATACTACAACCCACAATGTACCAAGTTCTAGGTAACTATGAATTCAAACTCTCTTCCTGCCAAATCTGAGAACTTGGATGAAACATAATGGACTGTACATGGAATCATCAAATATTAATCAACTCGAGATGGGAAGTTTTCTGCAATTGCTCTTGAGGGATGTTAATGAAGATGAATGGAAAAGTATTAGATTGGTCTAAACCTGTATGGGCTCGCATGCTAATCAAAAGAAGCTGGAAGCTTTCTCGAAATTAGTAGTGTGTCTGGAGTTGACGGGGTCAGTGATTGGTCCGTTGTATTTAACTGGCCAAGAAATCTTGCAGCATTGAGTACCTTTTTGGTGTTGTTGCGACACTATTGATGGGATTATGTATGCTAAACATGGAGAGAAACAGAGGTTTGTTAGGGCAACTGTTGCTCATTCAAGTATTTATAATCTTCAGTATAGGAATGAATCACTTGACTGCTAGAGCTGGAAGCACTTCAAGCACAGTAGCTATTCTCTATAAGTGCCATGTTCAGATTTGATTCCGCTGAATATTCGAAGCATTCTATGGTCACTGTTATCAAATGAGGTTGTAGTGCAAACATACCTTGTTTCTATTTGAGTGCATATGTTGTTGTTGTTATAGCTTTGCAGAGATGGATTTTATTTCTGCTCTTGGTTCTGCAGAAGATTAGGTGCAGAATTAGAATGGCTACCACTATCAAATAATATGGCAGAGCAAACTTACACGGGCTCTCTTTGAGTGCTTATGATGTTGCTGTCACAGCTTTGCTCAAAGATGATGTTGCTGTTGCGTAAATGGATTGTGAACTTGGCATGCTAGTTTCCTTTATCTTCTTAAGTCTCTAGTTTACTATTTTAAGGTTTTAGTGTCAGTTGTATTTAGCTTATTATTGCTGTTACCTTTTATGCTTAATGCTTTATCCTGTGTAAGTGTTAGCCACCTGCTCTTTTTTGGATAATGGATTTATTTGCCATTCCAAAGAAAAGGAAAAAAAAATAAAAAATCTACAAATTGAGACCTGAAACGAACTTCACGAAATCAATATTTCCAGTACCTCGAAACTCTATTATGAATTATTAGTACTGGACTATTCATAATACATTATGACTAGGCTGAAGGTGGTTCAAACATGTTGCCCATTTATAGTGAATTAGCAATACTAGATTGTTCTTCAGAAACGTGGGGCATGTGTGCATGTGTTTGCAGTCACACATGAACTAGTGTAAACACAAGTTGGAGGTGGTCATCTTTGAATGCTAAATAGGCATTAACAGTGAAACTAATAATCTGAAGTTTATCCCCCCTCCCCCCCCTCAGATATCTGGTTCCTGATAAAAAAGAAGTTTGTGCAACTAAATTGATAGCCAGGCATACCTTTTCCATGTAGGCTTACTTTCTGATGCAAGCTCCAGAGACAAAAGCTATTGGTGATTCCCTCGGGTTTGGATCAGCCTTCCTATTCTCTTCTGTGTTTGGTATGCCTTTTATTTGTTCACCATGTCCTAGATATCTTGTTGTTGGCTCCTATTTAGTATGCACGTTATAATTTGAGAATTTGACGGTTTCTATTGCCTCCTTTTCCTTCCTTTTTTCTTCTACTATTCAGGAATACGATTGGCAGCTACCCAAAAACTGATTCCTTCTGGTCTTCTGCTAGGTCTATCTATCTGTGCACTGGCTGTGTTTATTGCAGCATATTTGCAGGATAGTCTTGTTACTGACCTTGTTTAGTCAATTTATCCTTTGTCATTCTAGTGTATGAGCTTGTGTACCTTCCCTAAATATGCCTCAATAAAGTTTTGATGATCCATGTAAGATCCACCCTAATTTCGACTTACTTTCTTTTATATTTGGAAAAAGCCATAAGTCATACAATGTTGTACTGTATATATGTGTTATGATCTAAGTCGAAGTCTTTATTAAAAAAAGGATGCAATTTGCCCCCATCGGATCAAAATATTCTTGTTTATTCAAAAATGAAGAGATAAAGAAGTCATTATAATTGCCAGAAATACTAAGCCGACCACAGGCACAAAAATGGATCGGCACAGTAAAGGGTTTATAAGAGGTATCTTTAATCTAAATCTGTGTTCTGAGTTGATTTAGAAGCTGATGTGCTTATCAGGTTATTCCTTAATTAAGCAAGTTACTTGAATATAAAACTTTTTAGCAGATCATCTGCATGTATATGGTGATGAGTAATTAATTAAGCAAGTTATTTACGGGATAAAACTTTTGTGATGGACTTGACCAGATCCTATTGCATATAAACAGTAAGCAATATTGTGATTCACCATGGAGAAATGGAACTTTTTTATCAAAATAAAATGAATATATCTTGACATGCTGACATTTCAAGCAATATGTAGAGCCCACTTAATGTGAGCCACAAAATAATTTATATCTGTAAATCAGGGTTTGTGTAGTTTCACTGCATTTGCACTCCTGTTTAAGTTTAACGCCGATCCTCTCTCTAAGGGTTATGGCTTGGAATAAAACATGGTGTTCCCGGTCAAATACCAAAATCCATATGAAATAGAGCTCAGTCTTTTGCTTTTAGGTGATAACCATGAGCTATCTTGTATTTTTTTCTTGTCGGTTGTAGTTTCTTCTCATAGCTTTATTTGTAGTGAATGCCAAGATATGTGTGCTTGACAATGTAAGTGCGGATTTGACAGGATCTGGCCAAAAGGGATTTGTGTTAGTGACCAATGCCTACATTTTTGTCTCGTTACTATTCCCAAGTCAAATAAGATGCATCCCACGCTAGCAAAACAAGGACACAGAAAGTGGAAGGAAATCCATGTCCGTGAGACACTGGTATCTTGTCTTTGTGAAACTCATCCATTCATTTGAAGTACTAGACCCAAGCTTCTAGTGAGAGACTGTTGGTGTTGCTTGGTTCATGATTAGGGTTGGCACTGGTATAAAGTTAATAGGGTGGCAGTGTCCATGGACATTTGAAAAGAGAAGGAACAGAAAGAATGATGTGGTGTATCTTCTACTCAACAAACACATCTTTGAGTTTCTTCCACACAAAACCCCATTAAAGGTTGAAAGAAATTTAAGTATACTTGATGGTCAAACCACTTCGGTGTTTCCCACATGCAATCATTATGGTGCGCAATCCACAACAACTTTTGCACCCAAGAGTTTCTGATCTCAAATTTGATAGTCGGTGGGGGCTAGGACAGAATTATGCCAAAAAATAAGATTAAAGTTGTAAACTTTTCTTCTTATTAGCTTGAAGCACTTGATAGTTGTAGAGAATGTGGGGGTATTCAAAAAGTGCTTTTCATAAAGAAGAAAATGCAAGGATTCTTCCCTTTTGTCTAGGAGAGGAAGTTGGGGTTTGTTTTCTTCCTTGCACAATGGGGAACCGTTCAAACAAAACATTAGCATTGGTATGAAGAAAGGAGGTCTGTGTTCTTTCGAGCATCGACTACGATTGAAAGAGTAAATCACAATGGAGAACAGAAGGGAAAGGAACTATAGATGAGAGAGATCCCGATGGCTTGCTTTATCTAGTCTCAACTTTCATCATTCAAGGCCTCCCCCAGAAAGGCCCTCCACTACATTTTGTCCACAAGTGCTATGCATTGAAACATCCATTTCTTCTGTGCAACTTTTTTTTTTCAGGGAAAGATTTCTGCTAATGGAAGAATCTAGTTACTTGATGATGGGGCATCTTGTTTTCCATACCCAACCAAGAAAACACGAAGGATAAAAGGAGCACGGGGCAGAATTTCCTAATCAATACAAGTGATCTGTACAAAGACATACTTGTTTGTTGTGGCTAGGTTAGCTAAGCGCATTAATCAAGAGAACAAAGTGTGTTTGTGAATGTCGCTAACCGCGTGTCGACCGCACGGTTGGCCGCAAAAATAAATAAACTCTAAAGAAGGTGGTTGTAGATTCCGTAACCGAGTTTTCTAAATCATGTTAATGAAGGTAATAAGATTACTTAAAAGAACCCTTCTGTGAGTGGTGGATGAATCTGGGCACAATTGAGAGTTTGCTAATTATACATTAAGTGCCCATCTAATCATTCTTGAAAGAAATTAGTGCTTTTTATCAACTTGTGATGCTCGACTTGATGTGTTCTCTTTGTGTCTATGGCTATCAATGGCTAAAGCAATTATTTTTTCTTGCAACATTGCCAAAGATCAACGATGCAATGCACAAGTTTTAAAATAAAGATAAAATGCAAAATGCCCAGATTGCCTTTACCTGTGCTTTAAATGTGCATCGATCATCCTATTATAAATAAAGTAAAAGCTTGAATAGGAATATTACTTTTGTTTGATGATGAACTTGAATTCTGGTTTCTCGATGGATTTGTTTAGCATCTGTCCTTAAATTTATAGCCCTTCATAGCATAGAATTCTGAGGATTTCAATGCCTTTTGTGCTTCAAATTTGTTATGAGATTACATTCTAGAATTTCCCTTTTTAATTATTGAACTCTTTTAGTTGATAGCAAATTATTACTCAAAATTTTAATTTATGAAACTCTAAAATATAATTTATATAATATTCCCAACATAAACCACCCAATGCAACCTTTAACTTTATTCTTGGCATGGGATGCTAGATCGGCATATGATAGAGAGTCACTCGTTACCATGCATAGAACATGTATAGGTTTAATATCAATATTTAAAATGATTAGAATAAAAATAATGTGACTTAAACTCATGATTATTAAATTATTAAAAAAAATTAAACTTATAATTATTTGATAACTTAAATTCTTGAAATATTTTTTTAATA